TTTGCCCCTACTGGGACCCCAGTGCCGAGTCATCGTCACCCCCGGTCCAGCGGGACAGCGTTAACCACCAGACCGTTCGTTCATCCACGAAGGTGGCCCGTTGAAATGACGGGTTTAAGTTCAACTCCAAGAGTTCGACCGGTTCAGAAAAATGTAGCTGGGATCGGAGACTCGAACCCCTGACTTGTGGCGCACGGGGCCGACTCTCTACCGGCGCGGCTACGGCGCCACAGTGTGTGGCCGGGCGAGCTAGGCTCAAGGCACGAGTCTGCGCAGTAGCTTGAGCGGGATAAGAACCGGTTCCACCACCACACCCTCTCACATGGCGTTTCGAGACCGGCCTCGTGGCTCTTTGATATCGCTGCTGGATTTGGACTGTGAGTCGGGGGTTCTAATACTCGACGCGCCGTCACATTATTCGTTTTTACGTTTGAACTTTTACGCACTGTACGAGAAGCTCGACTAGTCGGCAACCCGCGCTGGGGTTCGAGTCCCCCCTGAGATCCGTTCGGAACTCATTTTGATTGCAATCGTGAACGTTTACGTTCTAGCCGCTCTTTTTCCTCCGTTAGTCGAAATACACTAGAAACGTGTGGGGACGACGAATCTCTTTGGTTTCCCGGTGGCGCCCTCTATAGTCGTACTGTGTCGTTCTCCCGCCCCTCCTTCCCCAAACGGCCGGTAGGAGAGCGACCGTCAGCCCCCACCACGGCCGGCAGAGCCTGTCCGAGCCGAGCTCGGCGGTTGCAGCCCGCCTCACCTCACAAGTTTCCCTTCGCTCTTGACAACTACTTCAAACTGCCACGAACGAACGCAGCCCAGCTCGGCTCACCCAGCCCAGCCGCAGTCAGTGAACCGCTCAGTTGCCCTATTCACCTCCGCGATTCTCCGCGACTTGACCTTGACCGTGCTCGAAAAGAACTCTCCAGTATACAAGGTATGTACAGTCCCAGCCTTCATGATCACAGTAAGTTACCAGACCATTCCGTTGTGATTTACTGGTGTAATTTTTCAGTGTTCGTCGCCGTTCTCAGTCCGCGTACTACCATGCGGTCCTCCGGCTGGAGTACACACGAGCCCATCCAGCCGACACGGTCAAGCATTATGTGTCTAGAAACTGAGTCCATTCATATCATCCTGCTTCTGTTCGACTGGTATTTGAGGGACCAAGACTTGGCCGTGCTTTCCTCTGCATAAGGTACAGTCCAGCGTACGAGGATCACACTGTTTGAGACACTCCCAAGCCATTCTGTTGTGATTTACTGTTGTATTTTTTAACAGTGGAAGCCGCGTCGCCGTGGACATCTGGAGCCGGCTGCGAGGTGTCGGCGAGTCACTCTACCTCCGCGGGACCCGCTGTGCCGTCCGCAGTTTAGCCAGCGGCATCTCACGGTAACCACCGTCATCAGAGGTTAATTAGCGTCAGATAGGGCCTTTGGCTGCTGGGGGCTAGGGTTCAGGGGTTAGGTTCCCATTCCCACTTAGTCCTTCACACATTCACAACACATTCACAGCATACGACCGGTACGACAGTCGCGGCGTAAAGAACGGAACGGGACTAAAGCGAAAGTCGCGACGGCGCGAGCGTGTTTGTTGTCAAGCTCATCGTTTTTGGAAGAGACTAAAAATTGAAGATGTTGAAGACGCATTGGCTTGTCGGTAATCAGCCCCATTTTTCTGTTTTGCCGTTTGACTTTCGGATTGTTTTCCCTCTCATGGTGGTTTTGTTCGCAGGATATGTACTCGCTCGCCGCGGAGCGAACAGCAGGCTGCTGCTTGCACAGCTGCTGGCTCCAGCCGAGAGTAAGACGGTTAGTTGGCGTGGTGTGGGATGAAGTCGCAGCGTATTTGATTATGTGTTGGGTCTCATGACACTCGCTTCTGTTGCAGTTCTCTGCTCGGCCGCCGGTGACTCGGCCTGCTCGGCTCCCGCGGACAGCTGGACCAGCTCGTGGCAGGTACGTCTCTAAAGCATTGTTTGTTCCCCATTTGGCCCGCTTGCAGTGGCCCCGGTCATTCCCTGCCGCCGCCCCTCTGCTGCTGCCGGCGCGTCGCTCTGACCTGCCCTGGCTGGCTCCCGCGGGTGTCCCCCCTAGGCCCCCCTCCCCCCCGCGGGCCCGGCGAGGCGCATCGTCCAGGGTAGCGCGGCGTGGCGGGCGTGTTTGTTACATTGCGACCGGGTGACTACGAGGGCAAAGTTGTGGCTTACTTCAACCTTACCTAGGAACCAGTTTAATGCCGTGTTCTCTGTTTCGCTGCCCCTCAGCCGACCTCCTGACCACCGCTCGACTCGGACGCAGCCCGGGAGCGTGAAGCAGTGCATCAACACGGCCTCATGGGCCTCGCCCGCCCTCGTCTACGAGTAAGTGACATCTTCTGTGGCTCGAGTTGGCTTGGTTAGTGTGTGGAATGATTTTAATCTAGTGTTGTTCCTGTTGCAGGACCGCGTCGGCTGCGATTGCAACAACCCA